CAAGACGAGGTTAAGTCAGGGCGTTAAAGCCCCTGTCACACTGTCCCGAAATGTACACCCGATGGACACACGAATATGGAATTGTGAATTTCGCACGAAGATGGCCCCGAACCACACACGCAGGCAACATTTACATTACATTTAAGACATTCTGCAACGAAAGTAACACAAACAATTATGTTAAAGTACTATGATACTGTACTGATATCTTCAGACTTTATTCTTTACTTTCTCCGTCTTTATATGTAGAAGATATTACGTTTTCTCCGTCATGTTGTTGTTTCCATAGCCACAACAACTTCCTGTCAACTCGCCTTCATAATAATATATTATATCCTTTTCAGTTTCACAGAACACAAATTGGGTTATTTACATAATATGTTTACATGATTTTGTTGTGCAATAAAACAACCCGATGGACACACGATAAAGGAAATGTTCAAATTCGTAGCAACATCGGGCCATTCGTGAGGGCATCTTAAGCCTTCGTATGACCGCCGGTGGAGTTTCTCAGGCTCCGGCAGCAACTTCATGAGCGGTGGCAAAATCTTTGGCATGCCAAAAAATAGCCGAAGGACCTTGTGAAGGTTCATTTTCGTGTTGAATTCGTGTGTCAATTTTGCTCTTCGTAAGGCCATCGTGAGGGCATCTTGTTATCATCGGTGCCATCGGGCATTCGCCCCGATCAGAGTGAGGGCGAATGCACCGATGATAACACGAAGATGACACGACTTGACAAGATGGCTTAAAGGCCCTGTCACACTGTCCCGAAATTGACACCCGATGGACACACGATAAAGGAAATGTTCAAATTCGGCTGTGATCGTAGCAACATCGGGCCATTCGTGAGGGCATCTTAAGCCATCGTATGACCGCCGGTGGAGTTTCTCAGGCTCCGGCAGCAACTTCGTGAGCGGCAACTTCGTAAGGCACTCGTGAGGGCATCTTGTCAAATCGTGTCATCTTCGTGTTATCATCGGGCATTCGCCCTCACTCTGATCGGGGCGAATGCCCGATGGCACCGATGATAACAAGATGCCCTCACGATGGCCTTACGAAGGGCACAATTGACACGCGAATTCAACACGAAAATGAACCTTCGCAAGGTCCTTCGGCAATTTTTGGCATGCCAAAGATTTTGCCACCGCTCACGAAGTTGCTGCCGGAGCCTGAGAAACTCCGCCGGCGGTCATACGAAGGCTTAAGATGCCCTCACGAATGGCCCGATGTTGCTACGATCACAGCCGAATTTGAACATTTCCTTTATCGTGTGTCCATCGGGTTGTTTTATTGCACAACAAAATCATGTAAACATATTATGTAAATAACCCAATTTGTGTTCTGTGAAACTAAAAAGGATATAATATATTATTTTGAAGGCGAGTTGACAGGAAGTTGTTGTTGCTATGGAAACAACAACATGACGGAGAAAACGTAATATTTTCTACATATAACGACGGATAAAGTAAAGAACAAAGTCGTAAGATATCAGTACAGTATCATAGTACTTTAACATAATTGTTTGTGTTACTTTCGTTGCAGTTGTATGTCTTACATGTAATGTAAATGTTGCCTTCGTGTGTGGGTCGGGGCCATCTTCGTGCGAAATTCACAATTCCATATTCGTGTGTCCATCGGGTGTCAATTTCGGGACAGTGTGACGCGGGCTTTAAGGAAAGTAAAAAGGCATGTTCAAAAGCACATTTAAAGTCTCGATGTTGGCTACATGCAACCGTGTCTCCTCAAGATATTACTCTCCTAAAAAACTTCAATGCATTCTTAATTATTCATTTTTTTCTCCTGTGTTACAGTTGCAGTTTTAAACACATGGGTACCGTTGTAAATAGAAACAAAACCCAACTAAACTACTTGGTTTGGTTTAGCAAAATATCTTAGTTTGGCTTAAAATAAACAAGTTTGTACTTAACTGAGGTTATAATAAGTCGACGTTGACTTTTCGTTTCATGTGTCCTCCTATTTGAATAGAAATGAATACATGATACGTCAAAAACGAACCTAATTCGATAGAAAAACTGCTTCTCTTGACACAAAATGGACGATGCCATTACATTGCCAACGTAAGAACATGAAACCTGAGTGTTAAGTCTAGCAGCACCCAAGATAAGCTTTAATTGTTGTGCCTTAAATGTGAAAATGGAATTCTACTCACTCTTTGTCCTAGAAAACCAAAACATGTCACAACAGTTTACTTGGTCAAAGCACATTTATTTAATATTTCTGAAGGACAAAACCATGTTTAGACAATGTTCCTTAAACAGCATCTTAGCTTAAAGGCATGGGTGTTTCCCATGGCAACAACTGCCTGGATATCTCATGTACTGGGGTTGCTAGGAGACTAAGTGTAAACTTCCTACTGTAGAACGTCATATAACTGACTTTTTAAGATATATCTGTCCCTTTTACAGCATTCATTCAGCTTTTAGGAGGATCAGTGTGTTGTGTTGTAGCTACAGGTGAGCTTTGTCGATGCAGAACATAAGAATCTGTTTAATCGAATGTCTGGAGGTGACTTGGCTACCTGTCGTGTTGTTTTGTACTTTCCACGAGTCAGTCTCTGCCTCCTTAATGCGTCCGACTTCCTGTCTTTGTTCTGTTTCCTGGTGCCATCATACGCCGAGGTGGAAGAAGTACTCACATACTTCTACTTATAAGTAAAAGTATAAATATCACAAAAACACTCCACTACAGGTAGAAAGTACTACATTCAAGATGCTACTGAATTATAGACATATTACTAGCGAGGGAGAAACTACAATACTTCCCTTTATTTGAGTACAAGTACAGCATAAATACATATATATAGAAGTACATGTAAACATTTTACATGAGTAAATGTACTTTAAAAAATACCAGTACTGCACACATTCTTGTAATTGGTGGTCTGGAGATTAATAACCTTAACCTTTAAATCTCTCCATGTTTTAGGGGCCACAGATCACACACACACACACACACACACACACACACACACACACACACACACACACACACACACACACACACACACACACACACACACACACACACACACACACACACACACACACACACACACACACACTCACACACACGTCTAAACTTAGCCTTCCCAAACGTAACTCAGTGGGTCACAGTTGGGTTTATTCTGGTCTCTCATGACAGAAACTGTGCCAAGCTGAACCTGAACAGGAAGTCCACGCTGTGCCACTTCCTGTCTCTGAGATGCTGGCTACGATATCAGACACACACACACACACACACACACACACACACACACACACACACACACACACACACACACACACACACACACACACACACACACACACACACACACACACACACACACACACACACACACACACTTCAAAGTACCCTGTTGACCCCTCTGTGGAAGGGTGGAGGTGTTTTTTAAAACATCTTCCAAGAACGGAGGTACACTTGCGTAGGTGTTTGTGTAAGAATGTACGTGTGTGTGTGTGTGTGTGTGTGTGTGTGTGTGTGTGTGTCTCACATTAGGTGATGATTGTGTGGAAAACAGGAAAGCAAACATCCCTGGTAAACCATGCACTTCCAAGTCTTTTCTGGGAACACACCTTGTTTTAAAAAAGATTTAATTCAGATGTTCATGTTTTATTGAAGGATTAGAAGTTGTAATATGTTGGACTAAACTCCCTTAATCAACCCATCTTCAATCATCGCCACTTCGAGCTTTGCAGTTGTAGTTTTAAATGTATTTTCTTGGGAACTATTGGACTGTTTCTGATTCAATTGGATTCAGATATTCACGTTCACCTTTAGATGAATTGTTATAACTGTAGTGACCTTTCGACTCATCATTCGGTCACCATTTGCATTTGTCCAGTACATTGGCTTATAACCAAATACCTGCTATCATTCCCATTAGCTTAGCATTACTCTCAGTGTCTCATCAATGTAAGCATGCTAACACACTCAGTTCAGATGGTGGACACACAGGGTGTTATTTTTTAGAAATGACACCCTGGAACATATTTAGCTTTTTCAGTAGCATGTTAGCTGAGTCGTTGTAACACCACGTTAGCATGTTGATGTTTCTGGAGGCTTGTTTATCTTTTCCAGGCTCTGTCCATTTGTCTTTCTCTGGGTTTAACTGAGTCTAAAATCCAGACAATAGTCATTGTTTCTGTTTCCTTTCATCTGGAAATAACATTTCAATCTGTTCCTCTTTTTGATTTAAACCAAATGGAAGTGGGGATAGTGGTCGCCAATATGTGTGTGTGTGTGTGTGTGTGTGTGTGTGTGTGTGTGTGTGTGTGTGTGTGTGTGTGTGTGTGTGTGTGTGTGTGTGTTAGGTGAGAGCTATGATAGCAGTTAATAATGAATGAATCCTGGCAGTTTATTGGTCGGTTTTATGTCCCACTTCCTGTCAGAGTTTCTAACAGACAGGACATCAGAGCGCAGAACTCCCATGTTACAGGAAGTCACAGAAAGATAACACACACACACACACACACACACACACACACACACACACACACACACACACACACACACACACACACACACACAGACACACACACACACACACACACACACACACACACACACACACACACACACACACACACACACACACAGCTGCTCCTTTTTGAACCTCCGTTCTTGGAAGATGTTTTAAAAAACACCTCCACCCTTCAACAGAGGGGTCAACAGGGTACTGTGAAGTGTGTGTGTGTGTGTGTGTGTGTGTGTGTGTGTGTGTGTGTGTGTGTGTGTGTGTGTACTCTCTGTTCACTGACTCATATTTGGTCTTAAAGTTTTTGTATTTGAATTTAAAGTATTTAATAAATATGTATTAATATAAATGAATAACTACTGCAATTAACTTGATAGCTAATCATTTATCCAGCATTTGGTTCATTTGGGGATAATTCAATAGGTTTTTTTCTCAATTTAATAGTTTTACAATCTGTTTCTTCTGCTATCTTTTAATATTGTCTGTTTCTTCATTTCTTTAGGGTCTAAGAAGAAGACAAAGGTCGTCAAGAACAACCCTAACCCCGTTTGGAACGAGGTACGTCCTTCATAAGAACCTCATATTCATTTTGTACTGGACAATTAGTAAAACAAACAAAAACACCTCTTATATCTTTTATAACCTTTTCTTGTTGCTCCTTGTGGAAAGTACTCATTTTAAATCTGCAAAAATAAGCTTTTAATGTGAAAATCCCTCCATTCGACCACCATCACCAAATCAAGCCGTAACAGAGGAGAGGTTTGGTTGCTTTTCCCCAGAGAACAAATGCATCCTGTTAAATCATAACCGACCCTGAACTCCAGTACTTTGTCACATTTCTTCTCACAAGATCCCATTTTCACCCTCAGCCCAAAGCATAACATGGACATTCATTTATTTAGTCTTTGCCCTTTAAACCTTGCAGAAATCTTTATATTTAAATCTGAAACAGAACAACAATCAAGACTGAACTTACAACTTATTTTAGATTAAAAAAGCGAAGTCATAGTCTCCCGTTTTCCCTCCTACTTGTATTGATTACTGATGTGTTTCTTTGCCAGGGTTTTGAATGGGATCTGAAGGGGACTCCTCTGGACTCTGGAGCAGAGCTGCACTGTGTCGTCAAAGATCATGAGAAGATGGGGAGAAACAGGTACTGCATGCACAAAGTCTACCAAATACATGCTGTTTTGAAGAAGCTTTCAGTGACGCCAAAGGCTAGATCATTATCCCCTTGGTCGTTACCTGTAAAGAAGTTAAAGTAAGAATACATCAATAAAAAATGCATTAAAATATATTAAAAATAATAATGTAAAATGGAAGAAAATATTTATATATTAATACAAGAAGATAAAGTTAAATTAAAAAAGAATAATAATAATATGTATTTAAACATACAGTTAAAGTAATATGTCCCAAGAGAAGAGAAGATATGTATATCAATATTAGAAGTTGTCAAATAAATAATACAATTAAAACATATGTATTTTAAAAATAAGAAGTTAAAGATATAGAATAAAAATATGTTTATGAACGTCTGATGTTGAAGCAGAATGTCAAATAAATAAAAACATTTTTATAGAATATAAATAGTATATACAGAAGACCCCTGATGTGTGTGTGTGTGTGTGGTGTGTGTGTGTGTGTGTGTGTTCAGGTTTCTGGGGGAGACTCACCTGGCTCTAAGAGACGTTCTTAACTCTCCAAACTTTGCCGCCACCTTCACCGTCTCCCTGCTGGACACCAAGAGGAACAACACCGGGGTCAGCACACACACACACACACACACACACACACACACACACACACACACACACACACACACACACACACACACACACACACACACACACACACACACACACACACACACACACACACTCACACACACACACACACACACACACACACACACACACACACACACACACACACACACACACACACACACACACACACACACAGATTGATTTACAGTCTCATTGTGTCACGAAGCTACGATAAATCACTCTGAGTTTCCTGTCTGGATCTTAAAATAGAGTGAAATGGGGATAACCAACACATCCTTCTTTCTCTCTTTGTCTTCTGAATCTAAATCAGTGTGAAGCTGTAGCAGTTGCCAATGCAGTGAGATCATTCAACTCATCTAAACGTCACAAGTCATTGTCTAAAATCAAATATTTTTTATTATAAACTGTCCAAATAACGTCAGTCTTTTTCCTTTGAAAGGAGGAGACACATTTCACTGCTACACTCACCCTGTGCTTATGAATAATGTTCATAAAGGACATTAGTATGTTAATTTTCAGGTGTATATCAGTATGTAGTGTCTCTACTTTAAAGAGTCCTCTCCTGCTGATGTTCAGGTGTATATCGGTATGTAGTGTCTCTACTTTAAAGAGTCCTCTCCTGCTGATGTTCAGGTGTATATCAGTATCTAGTGTCTCTACTTTAAAGAGTCCTCTCCTGCTGATGTTCAGGTGTATATCAGTATGTAGTGTCTCTACTTTAAAGAGTCCTCTCCTGCTGATGTTCAGGTGTATATCAGTGTGTAGTGTCTCTACTTTAAAGAGTCCTCTCCTGCTGATGTTCAGGTGTATATCAGTATGTAGTGTCTCTACTTTAAAGAGTCCTCTCCTGCTGATGTTCAGGTGTATATCAGTATGTAGTGTCTCTACTTTAAAGAGTCCTCTCCTGCTGATGTTCAGGTGTATATCAGTATGTAGTGTCTCTACTTTAAAGAGTCCTCTCCTGCTGATGTTCAGGTGTATATCAGTGTGTAGTGTCTCTACTTTAAAGAGTTCTCTCCTGCTGATGTTCAGGTGTATATCAGTATGTAGTGTCTCTACTTTAAAGAGTCCTCTCCTGCTGATGATCAGGTGTATATCAGTATGTAGTGACTCTACTTTAAAGAGTCCTCTCCTGCTGATGTTCAGGTGTATATCAGTATGTAGTGTCTCTACTTTAAAGAGTCCTCTCCTGCTGATGATCAGGTGTATATCAGTATGTAGTGTCTCTACTTTAAAGAGTCCTCTCCTGCTGGTGTTCAGGTGTATATCAGTATGTAGTGTCTCTACTTTAAAGAGTCCTCTCCTGCTGATGTTCAGGTGTATATCAGTATGTAGAGTCTCTACTTTAAAGAGTCCTCTCCTGCTGATGTCCAGGTGTATATCAGTATGTAGTGTCTCTACTTTAAAGAGTCCTCTCCTGCTGATGTTCAGGTGTATATCAGTATGTAGTGTCTCTACTTTAAAGAGTCCTCTCCTGCTGATGTTCAGGTGTATATCAGTATGTAGTGTCTCTACTTTAAAGAGTCCTCTCCTGCTGATGTTCAGGTGTATATCAGTATGTAGTGTCTCTACTTTAAAGAGTCCTCTCCTGCTGATGTTCAGGTGTATATCAGTATGTAGTGTCTCTACTTTAAAGAGTCCTCTCCTGCTGATGTTCAGGTGTATATCAGTATGTAGTGACTCTACTTTAAAGAGTCATCTCCTGCTGATGTTCAGGTGTATATCGGTATGTAGTGTCTCTACTTTAAAGAGTCCTCTCCTGCTGATGTTCAGGTGTATATCAGTATCTAGTGTCTCTACTTTAAAGAGTCCTCTCCTGCTGATGTTCAGGTGTATATCAGTGTGTAGTGTCTCTACTTTAAAGAGTCCTCTCCTGCTGATGTTCAGGTGTATATCAGTGTGTAGTGTCTCTACTTTAAAGAGTTCTCTCCTGCTGATGTTCAGGTGTATATCAGTATGTAGTGTCTCTACTTTAAAGAGTCCTCTCCTGCTGATGATCAGGTGTATATCAGTATGTAGTGACTCTACTTTAAAGAGTCCTCTCCTGCTGATGTTCAGGTGTATATCAGTATGTAGTGTCTCTACTTTAAAGAGTCCTCTCCTGCTGATGATCAGGTGTATATCAGTATGTAGTGTCTCTACTTTAAAGAGTCCTCTCCTGCTGGTGTTCAGGTGTATATCAGTATGTAGTGTCTCTACTTTAAAGAGTCCTCTCCTGCTGATGTTCAGGTGTATATCAGTATGTAGAGTCTCTACTTTAAAGAGTCCTCTCCTGCTGATGTTCAGGTGTATATCAGTATGTAGTGTCTCTACTTTAAAGAGTCCTCTCCTGCTGATGTTCAGGTGTATATCAGTATGTAGTGTCTCTACTTTAAAGAGTCCTCTCCTGCTGATGTTCAGGTGTATATCAGTATGTAGTGTCTCTACTTTAAAGAGTCCTCTCCTGCTGATGTTCAGGTGTATATCAGTATGTAGTGTCTCTACTTTAAAGAGTCCTCTCCTGCTGATGTTCAGGTGTATATCAGTATGTAGAGTCTCTACTTTAAAGAGTCCTCTCCTGCTGATGTTCAGGTGTATATCAGTATGTAGTGACTCTACTTTAAAGAGTCCTCTCCTGCTGATGTTCAGGTGTATATCAGTATATAGTGTATCTACTTTAAAGAGTCCTCTCCTGCTGATGTTCAGGTGTATATCAGTATGTAGTGTCTCTACTTTAAAGAGTCCTCTCCTGCTGATGTTCAGGTGTATATCAGTATGTAGCATCTCTACTTTAAAGAGTCCTCTCCTGCTCATGTTCAGGTGTATATCAGTATGTAGCATCTCTACTTTAAAGAGTCCTCTCCTGGTGATGTTCAGGTGTATATCAGTATGTAGTGTCTCTACTTTAAAGAGTCCTCTCCAGCTGATGTTCAGGTGTATATCAGTATGTAGTGTCTCTACTTTAAAGAGTCCTCTCCTGCTGATGTCCAGGTGTATATCAGTATGTAGTGTCTCTACTTTAAAGAGTCCTCTCCTGCTGATGTTCAGGTGTATATTAGTATGTAGTGTCTCTACTTTAAAGAGTCCTCTCCTGCTGATGTTCAGGTGTATATCAGTATGTAGTGTCTCTACTTTAAAGAGTCCTCTCCTGCTGATGTTCAGGTGTATATCAGTGTGTAGTGTCTCTACTTTAAAGAGTCCTCCTGCTGATGTTCAGGTGTATATCAGTATGTAGTGTCTCTACTTTAAAGAGTCCTCTCCTGCTGATGTTCAGGTGTATATCAGTATGTAGAGTCTCTACTTTAAAGAGTCCTCTCCTGCTGATGTTCAGGTGTATATCAGTATGTAGTGTCTCTACTTTAAAGAGTCCTCTCCTGCTGGTGTTCAGGTGTATATCAGTATGTAGTGTCTCTACTTTAAAGAGTCCTCTCCTGCTGATGTTCAGGTGCATATCAGTATGTAGTGTCTCTACTTTAAAGAGTTCTCTCCTGCTGATGAATATAATCATTAAGTAGCTTCAATAATGCAGTTAATTTTCGTAATTTTTTAAACAATTTCGGGGGAATATAAGCTCGAAAATGTACATCGGTACATCGTCCAAATACGGGACGTGTCCATTTCTACACAAACGTTCCTTATGATATATTAACCCTGCGTTTTACAATATAAAAACACTTTCATAATATCTGCAACATGCATTACCAACAAGCTTGTGCAATAATGAACTTAAGATTGATTCTGTTAAATGCTATAACTCCTTGGTTTAAGCTTGTATATTCTTTTCTTTCCAGAAGGTGATTACGTGTGGAATTTTTTTTATCACACAATGGAACTGAAATGTCTCCGTCTCTTCTCTCCAGGCGACGTTGACCCTGCAGGTTTCGTACCTCCCTCCTCCAGGAGCGGCTCCTTCATATCATCCGCCCCCCCACCCTGAGCATCTGCCGCACAGCAACCCCGGGGTGGAGATGGACACCGTCACAAGTAAAAAGATCATTAGTGACATCAAATAAATCAGTAAATATAAATCATAATAGAAGTGTCTCATTTGTAGTGAAGTACATTTACTTAAGTACAGTTTTGACACTTTGAGTATTTTTCATTTAATGCTACCTCAAACTTCTACTCGACTGTACTTTAGTTGCTTTACATATTCACATTATTAGCAAACACATATTTTAAATAAACTTCTTCTACTGTTTATATTGTAATATACATGTTATTTATAGCATTTTAATTACATTTTTGTATCTTTATATATATTTCTCATATTTATTTGAATGTATCTTTTAGTGGATATTTCACGTTAACATCCTATATTTTTATTTAATGAGTTTATTTAATTAATCTTTTTTTGTGTTTCACTCTAAAATGGAGCTTTCACGAAACCCAAGTTACCCACTATATTTTTATATAATCTTTTATTTAACATTTTACTTTAACTTTCTTATGTTGATATTGATGTCTTTATTCAATTGTATTTACATATTATATGTATTTATTTTCTTTTAAACATTTTCTATTTATATTTTTCAATTTCTTCAATTTTTCCAATATCTTCAATTTTTTTATATTTTGTACACATTTAAAAAATATTGTTTTACACATTTTGTAAAACATGTTTTACACATTTTTAACACATATTTAATTGTATAATGAAGCAAGTGTCACTGTCACCCAGTTCTACTTGGGATTCATTAACTATCCTTCTCCTAATTCATCCCATATCGTTCCTCATATATTTCTGTGTCTCCTTCCTCTCAGTGATTTCTCTGGACACTTTGGGGGACGAGGACACGGAGAGCATGATAATGGTGGATCCTCCGGAGGACCAAGGAGGAGACGACGGGCGCTCCATGGTCATCGTGGGTCCTCAGGGGTCGGGCCGCGAGTCGCCCGCCGCTCAGACCCCAAAACGCTCCCCGCCGTCTTATAACACCCAGGGGGGTCTGAGGAAGAGGAGGAGGGGCAACAGCAGCCACAACAAACCCCTGCCCAACAAACCTCAGGATCTGCAGGTGGAGATTTATTTTACAATGAGTGTTATTTGAGTTGTTTTAATTTAAAATAGACTAAAATAGACTTTCAAATAAGCAGATGCTGGCAGGTAAGGGTGTAGGTCTGACATTATTCATATATTCACCTTTTTAAAGACAGAAATATAAAGAAGGCTTTTATTTATTCTACTATATTTGAGCTGTAAAATATTCTGCACTGTGCTCACAGCGCCGCCGTGTGGTGATTCTGATGAATTACATAAATAACATCATCAATTTATTTAGTTTGTGTGTATTCAGGGGTGGATGTGATGTTTTATTTATTTAGTTAGTACAGGCAAGAGACACACATGAGCACCCAACAGTGTTGATGACATGATTTGATATTATCATCTCACGAAAAGTACTATAAATAAAAAACAGTAATAATAATCATAACAAAGACAAATGATGAACAGTTATATTATTTCTCAAAACTATGATACAAATCAAGAGGACAATAGCAGACTGTAAATATCATCTAGTAAAATAATTGCCTTTATAATGTAACTTAAGTCAAGATAGGGATAATGCTAGTAAAAGTAAAAGTACCTTAGTTAAAGTCACATGATAAGAAAACACTTAAAAAACAAAAAAACACTTAACAATTATTATTCTTACAGATAATTACACTTTTTATAAATAACTATTATTTTAGAAAATGTTAAGATGCAAACCGACCTACTTTATAGGATTTATATGCTGAAAATGACCCAAAAAATAATCTTCGTATGGTGCCACTCAGGTCCGTGTGCGCGTCATCGAGGGACGACAGCTGCCGGGCATCCACATCAAACCTGTTGTTAAGGTTACGGTTGCCGGGCAGAACAAGAGGACTCGCATCAGAAAGGGAAACAACCCGGTCTTTGACGAGGTAAAAACAATAATATAATTAATATAAAAACGCAAATGTAACCGTCAAACTGCAGCTTGATTGTTTTCCTCTCCGCAGACGTTCTTCATGAACTTCTACGAGACTCCTTCAGATCTGTTTGACGAGCCGATCTTCATCACTGTGAGTTTTTATATCTCCGTTTCAATATTTAGATAAAGCTTTCCTGTTGTGTTAAATGTAAGAAAAGCACATTTTTCTTTACCTGCCCGACAGGTGTGTGACTCTCGCTCTCTCAGAACTGATGCTGTGATCGGGGAATTCAAGGTAAACTCACAACAAACACTTTAAATACACAAAGATATCAAGTACTTAATACTGGACAGTTGTAGGAGAAGTAGTCAGATATAAATACAAAGAAAATCCCCTAAATGAAAGTAGGCATTATAACACCTGGGGGAAACTTCTGAGGCAATAGGAGTCAGGACTCAGAGAGACACGAGGAGAGCTGGAGCTCTGATGGAGTCAGGACTCAGAGAGACACGAGGAGAGCTGGAGCTCTGATGGAGTCAGGACTCAAAGAGACACGAGGAGAGCTGAAGCTTTGATGGAGTCAGGACTCAGAGAGACACGAGGAGAGCTGGAGCTTTGATGGAGTCAGGACTCAAAGAGACACGAGGAGAGCTGGAGCTCTGATGGAGTCAGGACTCAGAGAGACACGAGGAGAGCTGGAGCTCTGATGGAGTCAGGACTCAAAGAGACACGAGGAGAGCTGGAGCTCTGATGGAGTCAGGACTCAAAGAGACACGAGGAGAGCTGAAGCTCTGATGGAGTCAGGACTCAGAGAGACACGAGGAGAGCTGGAGCTCTGATGGAGTCAGGACTCAGAGAGACACGAGGAGAACTGGAGCTCTGATGGAGTCAGGACTCAAAGAGACACGAGGAGAGCTGGAGCTCTGATGGAGTCAGGACTCAAAGAGACACGAGGAGAGCTGAAGCTCTGATGGAGTCAGGACTCAGAGAGACACGAGGAGAGCTGGAGCTCTGATGGAGTCAGGACTCAGAGACACGAGGAGAGCTGGAGCTCTGATGGAGTCAGGACTCAAAGAGACACGAGGAGAGCTGGAGCTTGATGGAGTCAGGACTCAGAGAGACACGAGGAGAGCTGGAAGCTTTGATGGAGTCAGGACTCAGAGAGACACGAGGAGAGCTGGAGCTTGATGGAGTCAGGACTCAGAGAGACACGAGGAGAGCTGGAGCTCTGATGGAGTCAGGACTCAAAGAGACACGAGGAGAGCTGGAGCTCTGATGGAGTCAGGACTCAGAGAGACACGAGGAGAGCTGGAGCTCTGATGGAGTCAGGACTCAGAGAGACACGAGGAGAGCTGGAGCTCTGATGGAGTCAGGACTCAGAGAGACACGAGGAGAGCTGGAGCTCTGATGGAGTCAGGACTCAGAGAGACACGAGGAGAGCTGGAGCTCTGATGGAGTCAGGACTCAGAGAGACGAGGAGAGCTGGAGCTCTGATGGAGTCAGGACTCAGAGAGACACGAGGAGAGCTGGAGCTCTGATGGAGTCAGGACTCAGAGAGACACGAGGAGAGCTGGAGCTCTGATGGAGTCAGGACTCAGAGAGACACGAGGAGAGCTGGAGCTCTGATGGAGTCAGGACTCAGAGAGACACGAGGAGAGCTGGAGCTCTGATGGAGTCAGGACTCAGAGACACGAGGAGAGCTGGAGCTCTGATGGAGTCAGGACTCAGAGAGACGAGGAGAGCTGGAGCTTTGATGGAGTCAGGACTCAGAGAGACACGAGGAGAGCTGGAGCTCTGATGGAGTCAGGACTCAGAGACACGAGGAGAGCTGGAGCTCTGATGGAGTCAGGACTCAGAGAGACACGAGGAGAGCTGGAGCTTTGATGGAGTCAGGACTCAGAGAGACACGAGGAGAGCTGGAGCTCTGATGGAGTCAGGACTCAGAGAGACACGAGGAGAGCTGGAGCTCTGATGGAGTCAGGACTCAGAGAGACACGAGGAGAGCTGGAGCTTTGATGGCAAACACTGACGGGTTATTTGGAGCTTCGGCCGGAGAATTACTTACATAACATTATATAAGTATTATAAGCCAAATTGACTCTAAGTATGCAAGTAATAGTATTGAAGTTGTCGTAAAATGTTCCCTGACAGTGGCTCACTATTATATATAATGTTTGTAGATTAATAATGATTGTTTATTGTTGAATTTTGATGCTGTGAATACAATATTTACCCCTGAGATGCAACGAAGTAGATATATTTTTCAATATAATTAATGACATGTTTGGATAATTATTTCCTTTGACCCTCCTATTGTCTTCGTTCCCCCCCCCCCCCTTACTTTGGTGTTCGCG